AATAATTACATTGTTTTTATTTTTCACTGGCATCGGAATTACTTTAAATAGATGGGAGGGTGTCAACCAAATAAGGGGATTTTGACATTTAAAATGAGCTTATTATCCAAAAAAGACCACTTAGCCGATAAGGTATACATCTTTACCTCCGTTTCTGTTCTTTTACCTGGAAGTATTAATGTTTCTGTTATTGCATCCTTTATTACAACAAAATACTGAGGAGCTGCCAACTAGGAAGACTGGACACGATACTGGCAACCACCTGAAACCTACCAGGAAACATTAGAACTAATCGATAAGAAACAAGAACAAACAAGAAACACCACTTAGAGGGCTCATACGTTGTTCAATTTGACAACGAAACGATCACAATCGGTGACCGGAACAACAGCAGCAACTCCGACCGAATAACCTTCTTTTTTTTTTTTTTTTTTTTTATACTTTGCTATTTATTTTATTGAATCTTCTCCCTATGGTGACTAACAATAAGTGTATCAAATCTTAAACCTAATTACTCTAACTAACTGTCATATGACTGATATAGTGCTATAGGGGGCCCGAAAGTTATTGCTGGCTTTGCAGGTCGTTGCTTTGTAGACGGGATCGGGAGGAGATTGGGGTGCATAGAGAGTTTTTCATTGTAGGACGCTTTTGTTTGTCTATTTCATCTTTTACGGTAAGAATGCCCAGGTCCCTGTGGATGTTTAGATTGCGAATGTACCATGGTGCCCCAGTGATAATTCGGAGGGTTTTTGATTGGACGCGCTGTATAATGTCTATATTCGTTCTGATGGCGTTGCCCCATAGCTGGGAGCCATATGTCCAGATGGGCTTGAGGGTAGAGTTGTAGAGCAAGACCTTGTATTCCAGACGCAGGGGTGAACGGGCATTAAGAATCCAGTGGAGGCTGTTGGCTTTCAGTTTTAGGTGTTCTTTTTTGCATTGGATGTGTCTTCTCCAGGTTAGTCGTCTGTCAAGGTGGACGCCGAGGTACGTTACATCGTTAACTTGGGGAATCTGCGTGTTATTTAATGATAGTGGAGGGCAAGTTTGTCTGTTGAGGGTAAACGTTATGTGTTTACATTTCTGTTCATTTATTTTAATCCGCCAATCAGATAGCCATCTCTCTACTACGAGCAGGTGATTTGCTAGCTGTGTGGTGGCTCTGCCTGGGCACCCCTGAGCGACTTAGAATTGCGGTGTCGTCAGCGATCGTAGATGTTGTTAGCTGCTCATTTGTGGGAATATCCGATGTGTATAGGAGGAACAGAGTAGGCCCTATCGCGCTTCCTTGCGGGACTCCAGCTTTGATAATGTAGTCTCCGGATGTTGCTGTGTTGCACCTTACTGCGAAGGTTCTGTTGTATAAATACGACTCAAGAAGCTTATGAGTGTATCCAGGCAAGTGTGTTTTAATTTTGTGCATGAGACCATCTATCCATACTCGATCAAAGGCTTGACATACGTCGAGGAATATTGCGCTGCAGTATTCCCGATGCTGAAAGGCTGTGCGAATTTCTGATGTTATTCTGTTTACTTTTTCGATTGTTCCATGGTTTTGACGGAAGCCAAATTGATGGGCAGGGATAACATTGTGGGCTTCTAGATATGGTATTATGCGGGTTAGAAGACATTTTTCGAACAACGATCCCTGATATAGTCAAGATATCTGACTGAGTTTGTCTTTCGAATTGGCAATGTCCTTTCGATGCGTTATTAAATAAAACAATTTTAAAAATTTAAGCAAACCTACTTTGCTCTTTTTTAAATAACAAAGATCTTGAAGAGAATTGTAAAAATGAATATTCACAAATTTATGAATAACCTTCGAAATTCAAATTACATTTGAAAGTCTAGAGTTTAGTTCCACAGTCTTTCTGGATGTCGCCTAGGCATTCGACCGCAATTGGCTGGACGCCTTAATTTCTACAATTAAAACCTTGCTTTCACAGAACACCCATTAAATACTGGAGTCCTATCTATCTCAAGGTAGCGTGCTTGGACCAACACTGTATATAATTTTCACAGCAGACCTTCCAACAACCAATCTTATAACAACCTAAACATTTGAATAGACGGCTTACTTGACAAAAGCACATCAAAGCCAAGAGAACATAATTTTAAATTAAAATGAAGAAGCCTACATTTGTTAATAAATGCCCGTTCTCCGCTAAAATTAGAGTGAAAGGTACTTCTATACAATGCAATTCTCAAGCCAATTTGGATATATGGCTCCGAGCTATGTGGAAACGCATGCGTTAGTAACCTAGAAGTAATACAGCGAGCTCAATCAAAGATACTGAGAACTATAGCTGGTGCACCGTGGTACAAACGGAATGAAAAAAATTGACAGAGATTTAAATGTGGGAACTGTTAAAGACGAAATCGAATATACGATCAAGTTAGAGGTTTATCCAAATAGGCTTGCGCTGTTTTTAACCTGGAGCACTAGCCATTCACGACTCCGAAAAATAGATCTACTCACCCAGGGACAATAGTAAGCTCTCCTAAAAACTTAATTTTATATTTATGAATTAGGCTGAGATTTGAATACTTGTCGGTCTCAAAGATAGAAGTCTCGATATATAAAATACCGTACAAAAAATGTGAGTGTGGTACAAGGAACTGCATTTATGAGTTGGAAGTTTATTCCTTAATATCTCGAGAATTACGTAACGGAAATTAAAATGTAATATCTCAAATGAAAGATATACATTTCGAACATATATATTAAAAATAAAATTCACAAGTTTTAAGTTAAAGACTCGCTTATTTCCTTAATAACACAAAAAGTCATTTTTGTATGCACAAAAATTATCCGTACACTTCATAAAATGTTGAATATTAACAACAATTCCAAAGGTTTAAGGATTTTAATCTTTAGTGGGTCCTTCGTTGGAATGGAAGCTTGTAAACGTCGACACATGCTTTTTATAAAGTTGCTCGTCTCGTCAGCATCAATTCAATCCCATTCAGGTAATAATGCGGTTTTTAAGGATTCCTTCTAAGATATGTTGTCCCTTTCTGGACGATATCCCATAAATGTTCTATAAAAGCCACTATTCCACTAAGTCCGACAAATATTTCGGGTTGTTATCTCATTGAAATACGATGTTTAAGGGCACTTGGAATGAAATTTTGGCCTAAAATGTCTTTATACATAAATTTATTAATTTTATCTTCCATAAGGACCATTCGAGCCACTCCACCTCCATCCCATTCTTGCCAACGTGCTTAAAATATGGAATAAAGTTTTTTCCTTCATGGCTTCATTTGCCTTCTGACATACTTTAAAAGGACCGCCGTGTCCAAAATTTTTCATTTTTGATTTGTCAATAAAGGTTACGTTTTCCCAAAATAATTCCGACTTGCTTACATGCACTTTTGCCATCTCCAAACCCATTTTTTGTTGTAATCAAAAATCAATGGGTTTTTACGAACAACTCTTCCATGTATACCAGCATTGTGCAGGGTGTTCCGGATGGTTTGGAAACAAAATTTTTTTTCAGAAGGCTTCTCTAGGCTTTTAAGAATTGTTGTGGATGTTATTCTGGGATTTTGTAATGCCGTATTTACAACGTTATGCTCCTCCCGTGGTGTCCGTATGTGGTTCCTTACAGATTTTCTATGTTCTACTGCAAATTCTCCTGTGTTTACGTATTTTTTTTGTATCAAACTTTGCATTGTGGAAGGTGACTTGACAATATCTCTACCATTTTCGGGTTAATTACGGTTCGCTAAATATAATTTTATTATAGTTTTTCGAAAATTTAGGGATAAATCTTGACCCCGACCCATTTCGTCCAATTACAGCAAAAAAAGCAGCGAAACTAACTAAACAACTTTGAGAATAGTACACCGAAGTTTGCTCCGAAGTACAGTTCAAAAATTAATCGCTGATTGCCGTTGTATTCAGAAATAGAAGTCAAGAATGAAAAGTGTACGAATAATTCTGGATCGTAAAAAAATGTTTTTTTTGCGTTATTATCGAAATTATCTAGTATTTAAGTTAAAATTTGTTAATTTTATGCTAAAACATATGCTCGAAATGTATATCTTTTATTTGAGATATTACATTTTAATTTTCGTTACGTATTTCTCGAGAAATTAAGGAATAAACTTCCAACTCATGGGTGTACAAATAAATTATGTGCCGACTGTATATTAATATATCGCTTCATGGTAGTAATCTTGCTCGTGAATCATGCGGTCAAAATACTGTATTTATACCGGGAGGTTGTGGGTGCCTTTACAAAGGAAAACCAAAATTCATTACCTCGATTTAATAAAATTGTTTATCTATATATACATAAATGAAATAAAAAAGTCGAATGTGCCGAAATTAGAGATAAATGTAGATAATATTTAAAATCTATTGTTTGCTTTAATCGTGCATAATATAGCATAAATTAACATATTCACATATTAATTAAAAAACCTCATATTAAGACTATTTTAATTATTTCCGTTGCGCACGATAACACCATTCTGCAACTAAAAGTTTATATAATACTTGTGCCCGCCATTTCCACTTAAGTGACTGATTGCCAAACGCAAGCTATTAGCCGGTCACTGGTCACTGTGGTGGATGATGGGCCCCCAAAGGCGATCGATTGGACTGACTTCGTTACTATAAAATAATAATAGTCATTAAAAAAAATATAAAGTACGTTAATTATAAATCTTTGATTAGCAAATCCCCCTCCTGAAAATAATAGATCATCACAAAATATTGAGCCCATAACATCAAATTAGAATATGATAATTTTTATTATATGAGGAATACATTTTTTATTAGGCCCGTAGCAACGAAGGACAGTCTTCCCCTTCTCACCATAGAAAATACAAATTGCAAAATTGCAGTAAATTCCTAATAATGCTGATTCCGCTCAAAAGGAAAAGCGTTTTCCAAGAAATTCATTGGTTTATCGTCAGCAATGTAACCACAAGGAAACAAAAATGAGTCTGAGTTCTTAATTCGTAAATAAAAACTTTACCAATTATTTGATTATTTATATTATTTTTTTTTTGTGGTAAAATATTAATACGCTAATAAATAATGGTTTCATTCAGAATATGTTAGCGTGGTTCCACGCCTATAACCAAACTGCCTTTATGGATTGAAAAATTTGTCTTTAAAAATTTTGGGATTTCTGGATGCTGTCAATGCTAAACATAATACGAAATAATTTTAAACATTTTCAACGAATTCAAATTCTCTCATGCCTAAAAAGTAAAGGGGAGATATTTTCAGAAGTATTTGTTTTGTAGGGTAAGTAATGACATTTGTGTGAAATTTATGGATAACATTGAGCTTAAATATGATCACAGTATTTGTCAGTAAATCTACATCTAGTATATACAAATCAGTATTTTACACACAGTTTTGGATTCGTAGCATACACAAATAAATTAACTTTAATTCGCGCTAAAAGGAAATTACATATTAGTTTGCTACTCGTCTGCTTCATTTTCTGTCTGGATAAGCAATGGAATCTGTTGAGGAAGGTCGCTAGTTGCCCATAGGTACAGGTCCAGTGTTTTTTCCGTGCAGTCGGCGACAAACCGTACAAATGGCCGAATGTCGCCCTCGTTGGCCAATTTCAGGAAGTAGTAGTACTTGCTACGTTGTTGCTTTGGAATAATGACAGGCGGGTACCCTGCTCGCATTAGCAAGGTGTTCATTAGCAAACGAGAAGTTCGTCCGTTCCCGTCGATGAAAGGATGAATGGCTACGAGCTTGTAGTGAGCGAGCGCTGCATAACTGTGGATGAGACAGAACCTATTTATTAACATTGGATTTAATATCATAAAATTCACTTTTTACAAAATAATAAATAAATCGGTAAATATGAACTAGAAATGTTATACAAGGTCAAACTTGTAGACGATAGAGTTTGCTTGACTGCATGAAAATACTTCAAGCTGCGATGTCATCTAGATCCCTAGATCTCAGCGTTCATGCGCACAAGCATACAAAAGGACAAGAAGTGTTGATTATAAGTCCTCACACAAAAATTGGCGCTGCGATAATTTCTGATAGCAAAATGGTTATTTTAAAATTGAATAAGACAGTAACCTGGTAATTTAATTGCAAAAGTTTGTAATAATTTATACGGTCATTACTAATCTTTATTATTTAAATTAGATATTAGGCCTATGTTACTTGCCTAACAACAACACATTTGTATGTGTTTGAAGAAAAACCAAAGAGCCCGCGAATTTTAAACAAAAGAGCACAGTTTTCTTCGTGAGCCGATCATTTGCTCAGAAGTTTTTTGCTACCCATTCACTTTTACGCATTTAAACACAATTTTGGGAAATAAAATATGCTATTTTTTATAGAAAGGAAATATTTTTAGATTTTACTTTCCTTAAAAATAAACTATAAACATTTAATTTGTTTGCCTCATTGTTAAATTTATATTTTAAAATGCGAAATATGTTTATGATATGTTTCCCACTCACTTAACGGGATGTAGAAACTTGCAGTGATCAGAGTTTATCCAACGCTGAAAGTGCAGCATTAATTGCGAAAGGTCCCCCGGACCAGGTGGTATATGACCCCCGACGAACACTTGAGTACGCCGGAACTCTCCACCCTCAATTGGGTCCACATGTCCTAGTACTCGGCGGTGCAGCTCAAGGATGTCTTTAATAGTGATTTCTATTCTGAAGAAAAGTAAAATACATATAAATAAGAACATTTTTCAAAATTTATGCCAATAGTAACAAATTATTTATTTTTTAATTGTGCAAAAATAAAGCGTATAGGGAATTTTTGAAATGTTAAAGTTTTTTTATATGGACATATACATAAGTATGCACAGTTAAATCGATGTTTGTATGTAAGGATAGCTGGTTTTCGGAACCTATAGATCTAAAACCTATCAAAAGACGGGCCAAGTTTACTTGCATAAAAACATTAACAAGTTTGTATTATATTGAACATTTATTCATGTTTTTATAGAGTCTTATAGGTCATAATGCTAAAAGCCTTACTTACTTTTGTACCAGGCTAGCATTAATGTACTTCATAGCTAGGTCCATTCCCAAGATCTCGTTATGCTCGTCAATAGATTTGCCGTCCACAGCCATGCGAGTCTCTAGGACAGACCTCGTTTGAGCCAGCGTCATAGTATTACCCTCGATTCCTACCGAATGGTAAATGTGCTGAAAGTAGGCTTCCTTTTTAGCCCGACGCAGGGCGGCGTTGGTCTCGTGGATTGCGGAGAGTGCATCGCGTTTTGAGTCCAACGACTCAAGACGGCGCTCATCAAGAATCTGCACAACATTAGCAGTTCGCTGTCTATTGGCAATCGCCTCTACATTAGTCGGATTGATAGTCAAGGCCTGAAAGTAGTATTGATCCGCCAGCACAACGTTGTGTTGGCTGTGCTCTAGAAACTCGCCGTAGCGGAGCAGTACTTCAGGGTGCCGGGGAGCTAGAATTAGGGCATGTTCAAACAGACGACCAGCCTTGTCAATCTTGTCCGCCAGATACATGTCGTGGGCCCTTTGAAGAGCCACTAGCGCCTCTTTGATATTTGTCTGCTCTTCCTCCATTGAAATAGTCCGGACATCTTCACGGATATTTTTGAAGTAAAACTCCTTGAAACTGTTCATCTCCTCTACGGAATACAGCGCGAACTCATTCTGAGTCTGATGATTGTGGGCTATGGAGAAGTGGCGGTTCTGCCGTAGGTTCCAATTCCAAGTCGAGGAAGTGAAGATATGAAAAAACCATGCCGCAATACTACCAGCAATAAAGAACAGTGCTATACGGAGATGGCTGCTCGCGTGTGCTCCATAGAGTGGCGGATTACGTTGTTGGTGATGAGCAGGTAGATTTGTTTGCGTTGCGTTCTTGCCCATAGCTAATTATCTGTGTTCATTTATGTTTTGCACAAATTTTGAATAATTTGCACGCCATGTACATGTTACGCTAAATAGAAACATTTAACCGTCACTTTGGTAAATGTGCTTACCTGCAGGTACTGCACTCTGCTAACATAACTTACGTGCTTTCTTTTTTCCGTGTGACCGTCTCTGACAGAAATCTCTAATTCATAATATGTATATAGTTTATATTAATTGCGATTTACTTCCGCGAAACGATTAGAAGGCATAACGGTTTCTCCCCAATTTTGCAGATATAGTTTCATATACATATGTATGTATGTACATATATTTATCTCGAAATTATAACGTTATAAAATTTATTTAACAGATGAACATATACATTTCGCAAAGAAAAATACCAAAAAGTATCGTTAACTGAAATTCTGGTAGAATATATTATATTCTCTTTGGGTATTCAAATAAATTGATAATTTTTATTGTCGACAACATTAGCAATATGCGATATCACAAAGATGAAAATATATTTAAGGAGATTAGTTGCATAATTTTTTACACCGAATGAGGTATAGGAGGAAGACCCATAAGGGTTCACTTTATTATTGTGCTCTTGGTTATTTAAAACTGGCTTAATCTTAACCTTTTTTTCTTAAAATATATTACACCTTTTTTATAGTATAACAAAAAATCAAAATATTAAAATGTTCATAATTACAAGCCGAAAATTTGACTAAGTTGTCGTTCCTTTTCTTGCATAAAAATCCAATTTATGTGATTTTTTTAAGTTTTGTTCGATTTAATCATGGATTTGGAGCCGGACTTCTTTAAAAACGCCCTCAAGTTATAGCTAGCAGAAGAAATTAATTCTCTTTAATTTTTAAATATTTTGATTGTTTCATGGTAAGAGGATATTACATAGGGCTTTTTGCAAGAAAATAAAACTTACATATTTAACATTTCATTTCACAGGAGTGCAACCAATTATATAATTGTTCTATGTATGAATTTAATTCATTGCTTAATACAATAAGCTTATTTTTTCGATTGAACGGGTTAAGAAGGGCAAAGTGTGGTCAATGTGCTTACTGATAGTTTCTATAAACAGATTATTTATGGGTGTTGATCAGAGAGCAGAGCAGGTAAATTTAACAGTTGTGTGGTCGTATAGGCATATAGCTAGGGAGTATCCCAATGGACGGCTGCCAAACACTTTGTCTCAACACCTCCTAACAGTTCCAATATGAATCTAGAGCTTATAAAATTCTAGCTTATATTTTGTATTTATGTGTATAACGGTGCTCATTTAAAAATACTGGGGGATTTGTGTGCGATCGGAAAAAAAAAATTCGCACAATCTGAACTTTTTATCACTTATAGTTACCGAGATATCAGCTTTTCTAGAAAATGCGAAAAAAGTCTTTTGAGCTTGGTGGGCGTATGGGTGGGTATGGCCGGATAATAGCAAGACTATAATATGCGCTGGCATCTAAATATTATACATACTGATTTTCAACTTTCTAGCTCTAATAGTTCCCGAGATTTCAGCGATTTTAGATTTTCCGGCTTTGTGGGCGTTAGAGTGGTCTAGTCAGGATGCTGAAATAAACTTGCGCTGCGTAGGGACCTTAAGAATCTTCATGCTTAATCTAATTTATAGTTCCTGAGATTTCAGCGTTCATACGGACGGACGGACAGACGGACGGACGGACAGACGGACAAGGCTGAATCGACTTCGCTATTGATCCTGATCAAGAATATATATACTCGGTCGGAAACGCTTCCTTCTATCTGTTACATACATACTTTTCAACGAATCTAGAATACCCCTTTGTTCTACGAGTAACGGGTATATAAATAATGAAAGTGAGCAGACGTCAGAACATTGATATCATCTGGGGTTTTTAAAATAGGACAAAGTGGCTGTAAGTTCAACATTTCGGAAATTTCACAAACTAAAGTTCGTTGCTTGTAAAATTTGATTAAAGATTTCTAAAAAAACGCGAAGCTTCCCACAAGCCTCCAAAGTGCGGGGAACAGGGATGAAATTCCACTTGATTTTACAAACAAGAGTTCGCAGCTCGTAAAATGTCAGAATAGATTTTCCAAAAACGCGAACAAAATAGTATTTTTCAGATTTGACTGCAGCTTCCCACAAGCCTCCAAGGTGCGGAGAGCAAGGAGGGATGAAATTCCACTTGATACTGCATAACTCTCTGTTTTGAGGATCGCTAAGGAACAGCTGCCGAAGCTCGATCGTGTTTTGCTTCAAAAAATTGTTTGCGTTGTCCGACCAAATCGCTTTCCTCTCAGGCTTATACATTTATTTAGGGCTGCAAAAAACGATTGCGTTGAAGTATCTTCGATGACGACCAAATATGTAGACTAAGTGACGAAACAGACGAAAATGGCTATGTAGAATTTTGTAGGGGGCCTGTTTTTGACAGCGGACTTCCACTCCACCACATGGAAGTCCACTCCAGTGATTACAAATGGGTAATGGGTGATTGGGCACGATCATCTGGGAGTTCAATAAAAAAGCTGCAGATAACTCCAGTTTCGGAATGGAATGGTTTCGGAAGAGTCAATGAAACTACGCCTTGATATTCCGAGCAAACAAGCAAGAGCCGTATGCGGCCATGCTTGCATCTAGAAATCCATGAATTTCGCAAGATGAGTTAGGCTTCAAAACAAAGCGAGGAAATTTCAAACAATCTACGGTTGCGATCTATGACATATGCTCCAACCTAGACGAGTGCAAAGATTGCGGTACGGACTCATCTCAGTCTAGCTCATCTTTCCACAGGACCTGCATAAAAATCTTTAGCTTGGTAATGATCAGTGCTATTAACCTCAATGGATCGTAGAATGTAGCGATTGGCGAAAGAATTCTGCGCTTTGTTGCGAGCTGGTCTGAGAAACAAAAGAGGTAATTATCCGAAAGAGTATTCCAAGGTAAGACGAACGCTTTTGCAACATCCGTGCAAAGTTGGTGTATTTCTTTATGAAGGCTGTGTACTGCGACTTGAGATCTAAATTTCGACCTAATTTAGCCTTGAATGCTTTAACCCGAAGGAGCGTATATGAATTTCCTAAAACACCGAATCTAGTTTTGGCAGGAAGCAGAACCGAATATTGGCCATATTCCAGCCTAGTGTATTGCTGTTGAAATAGCTGCTTGCACGGATCATTCTCCTTCGAAATGGTTGTTATAGAATCTGGGCAATTGTCGATTTCCCAAAATCTCCTTAGTGTATCAGAAACCGAGTCTGATTACGACTGAGTGCTGGATTCTTGAATTGAGGAAATTAAGGATCAGGACGTAGAGACTCCTACATTTAGACACCCTGAGATTGTCCAGCCAAGTTTGGATTTCCGAAGGATGGGTAAATGGCTTCCTAAACGTATTTGTCCAATGCAAAGTAGCTCGGAGAATACACTTAATCCAATAAGCAAGTTAATGCGCTGACTTTTGTAGAGAGGGTCGACAAGACCGAGATTTTGCATTCAGATGCGTTAAGTTCGAAATTTGGGTGATAGTCGTTACTGAGTAACGGCAGCTACAAGCTACATTTTTTGTCAAAAAATGCTCCTTAAGCTCACATAGGCTACACAATGGCAATGCCGAGGGTGAAGCAATAAGGGTACTACGGATGACATTTGCTAGATACATTTCCCACCTGTTTGCTAGGATTCTAGTTTACCATAGCGCATTCCACGTTATCTTCGAAAATCCTAAAAAGTGGAATATTTGTATATAAACCTCCGTGTCGATCAATATTACACAGCAGTCAGAAGCCAAACCAGAAGCCTAACAAAAAAATCGAAATAAATACAGCCAAAGAGGGAAGTTGCTGAGCGGAAGTTGCTATACAGGTATAGAATGTTTAAAGTTGAATGTTAATCTGTGGCGTTTTTCTAAACTTTTTTGGCATTCTAGCCAATAAGTTAATACAAATAAAGTTTTTATATTTATTATACCTGCCAATAAATATTGAGAGAAAAGAGAATCGCTTTCGGTTTTTAATTTAATTTCGTCGTGAACCCAACTTGTGTCCATTTAGAGTTCAATTTTCAGAAAGAAAAAAGTGAATTAACTTGTTGCTCGAAATGCTACGTGGAAATGAGACAAAACCAGCAACAGAAGCACCTTTGATAACAAACTCCATTTTAAAGCCTATCGAAGTTGTGTCTCGCTTCGATTGGATTCAGCAGAGGAGTGAGCTTACCCTAATCCTAGTTTGCTAATTAGACGGATGGATTCCCAGGAGCTAGCTGTACGGGTTTTGGTGCATCACAATTCGCACAACTTTGACTTTCCGCTAACCGATTATGTAGAATGGCCTCTAAAAGTAAAGAAAATTGGTTCGGAGACAGGAAAGCTTGAGTAGGTTCTGGGCAAGCAAGAGCCAGAAAAGTAGACTCAGTCAGCATACAAGAAGAAACCTATCAGTATGTGGTAACTCACCGCAAGGACTTCAATCATGACTCCTTTGAGGTCAGCATGCTAAGCAGTCAGCGCGAGGTTCTGATGGTCTTGCCAGTTGGTTACCATGTGGAAATAGAAGTCTCACTAGAGAGCGGAGTAATTGGATCAGTCTTTTCTTCATTCAGACTCCTCTTCTAGAGAAGAAACTTTCTGATCAAAAGGTATTCCAATGGACCAGTCTCCAGTCACATACATCAGCTCAAATATGGATCCAAAGATGGAGGAAGAGGTTTAACGCCTATTTTAAGTTTAATTCAGCCAATCTTGAAGAGAAATACTAATCGAATCGAAAGCTTGCTATTGATGTACTTCAAAAAAACTCCGGAATATAAATGGTTGAAGGAGGAACTAGAGGAGATACACTCGCGAGATGGGAGGTTCACCTGCACAATTATTTTCTCCCAGGTCGACGATAACCAACAAAGGATATCTCTGAAGCATATTTTATGCAAGCTCGATGATAAGGCCAATAAAATTCTCTAAAGCAAACCTAACTCGTACACTCACCTACAATTTTTGCTTATGTAGAATTGTAAATATAAAAATAAATAGAAACTGCTAAATTTTTAAAAGTGTTTTTACTGACAGCCAAATCAAGAGTAGCTCCGCTTAAGGCGAAAACTTTTACTCGCTTTTAGCTGTGTGCAGCTCACCTTTTAGCAGATCTTCCTAATCGTGTACTGTAATTAATTAATTGACCAATACATAAAGTTGGCCCACAGACTGACTCCAAGATCAGTCTGCATCGAGCCGAGTAGCGGAAATCCAAG